AACGCTAGAATTGTGCATCTTATGTCAAAATCGGCGCCGTTATGGTCTTCTTTCCTATGCCTTCCCAAAGGGCTCACAAGACTCTGTTATGAAGTAGTCGACCGGTCTCGCCGATGTAGATGGCATGGCAATCCGTGCGCTCCAGTTGATAAACTACTCCGCTTTTGGAATAGTCTCCCAATCTTCCGTTGGACAATTCGCAATTCGGCGTGAGAGCTCTATCATATAATCTCTAGCGAACTAGTTGTCTCTTGATATTATTCCGATGTGAGAGAGTGGAAAAATTATGAAGAAGTTTTTACTCTCTTGGATATCTTTCACTTGCTGGGATCAAAGAATCAAAACAGCGGGTCGTGTTAGCAGGTGAAAGTGAGAGTCAAAAGTCTGTAAGAATGGTATCCCATATAATAACCAATAACGGTTATTCCCTCCAACCCAAATCTTCTACAAGAACATCGATGAACAAGGGAACATACTGAAACTAAAGTTCCATCATGTTTACCGCTCATCTCCGACGAATTGACCGCCGCATTCAAACAATGCTTAGTGCAAGCACGGTTGGAAAACGATGTTGTCCTTGTGAACATGCTACGAATGTAAGCCTATCTCAACATTTAGTTGTACTAATTTTGTATAACGGCTATATATCGAGAACATGTAGAGCACTTACTGCGCTTGGGCCCATGCTAACAAAGCATTTCTTTTCGAACTCCTTTGAAATTTTTGCATCACTCCAAACCACAGCGCTTCATCAGGTGAGCTCACGCTACGGCATACTTTGATCAGCCTTAGTTCAATAATTATATAATTTGTTGATTACATGAACGACTTACAGTATAGTAAATTTGTCCACCTTGTCAACTCCATCTGCGTTTCTTCACGACAACGCTCGGCTACCTTCACAGCCATTATGAAATCTCGTAGCTGAGCTTTGTGTGCGGATCTTTCGCTCTAAAGATTGTACACGAGTTCATCAAAGCTACAAATTGAGAAATTAAATGTTTTACCTCAATCAGAGCGTCTTTTTTCTGTAGTTCTTTACTTAACACGGTGATCTTCTCTTGCAGTTCAGACAAGCAATTCTCATCATTCTTCACAAAACTTTCGTCACAACCAAATGAATCAGCATCAAACGACTAAATGCGCAATTTCAATGAAGGGTTTACAATAAGCAATGCAGTATCTCCATTGCTCATAGCCTCTCGTAGGTCAGATGTCTGGGAATAATCTTGAGACACATTTTACAGTAATTATGAGCAAAAATTGGGTTGGTTCTTATACTCTTTGGTTGTGGACTGCATGTTGGTCATTCCAAAGATAACATTTTCGGATCACCGGTTGGTTATTATTGAAAAATTTGGAAAACTGTATCTATGAGAAGTTCGTAGATTGAGAATTTAGACAACTGTACTTGTGTAAGGATTCGCATTTCCAAATAGTCAGGGTAGAGCAAGGGAAATCCAGTACAGAACATGTTAAAAATGCTTTTATG